GGTAACACAAATTGCCTCCTGAAAATACAGTGTGACATATTATTTAACACTGATGAAGAATGTTAAGCATTCAACTTACTTTTTCCCCTTAGCTTTCTAGCATTTCCCACTCTTGCCTGTACAAGTCTTTAAGAGGAGCAATAAAAAAATTCTAAGAAATAAAGCAGCATATTTTAAGAGAAGAGTTCTGCAGAATGCTTTCCAGATAAATATTTTTACTAGTTTAGTTTAAAAAATCTTCTACTGGATATCTCAAGCAAAACTAAAGGTCTGATCAATCCACCTTGTTGATATCAGTAAAATTATGCTTCCTTTTCAAAAAGTAAATTTGATCAATCCTAGTTAACTTGCCACTTCAAAAAAAATGAATTAAGTAGTTACAATTAAATAAAAAAATTAGTAGAAGGTTTGGACATTTTTACTCAACAAGTATTCAAAAGAGACTCTTTTTTAGGCAGCAAGTAGTCCTGAAAAATGGACTAAGATTTCTCTAAGATTTAATGCTATGTCATTAAAATAAATTTCCCATTGTGAATAACTGAGCACTCAAATAAGTCTGGTGTACATTACATAGAACCAGCAACCTAATTTTGAGGCTGGATACATTTCTTTACTAAGCTGATCTCTATTTTTACTCATGAAAAATGATACCTTTCGAAAGAAATTCCTGAACAGTCACAACAGTTTGCTCCCAGCTTCGACTACTCTTAGAGTAAACAGAAATGCTGTCCCAGTCTAAGTTACTAAACAACTATCCTCCCCTACAAAAACTACTAAGCTCTTCAAGAGTGCCTCATATCTTAAACCATCATAACACAAACAAAAAGCAGGTGAGTATGGCTGAACCTTCAACATCCTACTGCTGCTTGCTTATACCATGCTAGGAACCAGGAGACCAGATGCAAAATGGCTGAATGGCTCAGGAAATGAGGGTCTCAAGTTTCAGAGGTCCCTTGCAAGGCAAAAATCTGTCTTTATTGACACAGACCAGCCAGGCAGCCCTCCTTCTCCTTTGAATTAGAAATCTCACGCTGAGCTGAGACAGCAATATCTATTTTTTAAAGTCGGTTTAATTATTTGCAGGAAAAAATCTACTCTCGTAAACAACAAAATATTAGCCGGTATTTCTCCATTTATTACCCAGAGAAAAAGTATCGGTAGCTCAAGGATCCAATACTTTCCTTTTAATACATGCACTCAGAAAGGTGCCACCACCTTTACTACTTGAGTCCTTTTCTAATCTAGAACTCTCTCCTGGGGACTGATACGACCCCCACCAACATAGTAGGTATTTGTCCTCACAACACCACCGAGAGGAAGAGAAATGTAATTATCTCCACTGACAGGCAGAGAACTGTGTCCTAAAGACATAGAGCTTATGGCACAGTAGGCACTGAATTCCAATCTTGACAGGGTTGGGCTAGCACCCTCATCCTTGGAGCACCTCTCCCTCCTTCGCTGCCACCCACCCCCTCATTCCAGCAGCAAACTGTTTGGGGGAAAGGGAAGCAGAAATACAAGCTAAAATGTTATTTTTTAAAACAAGGGTAGGCAACCCCCAGCATGGGTGCCAGAGTGGCATGCGAAGGCACTTAGCTTGGCACATGCACCTTGGGGTGGATGGAAGGGAAGGGGCCGGGGTTGCACTGCTACAACATGGATCAGGCCCCTCGCGGCTTTCCTGCCGCCCACCCCTGGCATGCCAACATCTTCCAAGTTGAGGTTGTGGGTGTTTTTGGCACTCTGCCAACCCCTGATTTAGAACTTTAGTTTTATTATTATTTCAGACTTTCAAAAGACAGCAATACAGTCACCTCACCTAGCCTGCAGTTGAAGGGACCAACTAGCCATCTAGTAACAAAGACCCAGCTACTGAAGCGAAAAAGAAAAAAAACTCTCTCCTCCCCCCCATCGCACACCCACCCACCCAAAGGGTTCTCATCTCTAGCTGCAGTCTTGCTTTCTCAACAGATTCCCTTAATGACTTTTGGAATGTGCAGAGAATGGAAGAAAGAATCTAAACTGAGAGCCCTACATCAGAAAACCTTACAGAGTCCAATTATTTTTTTAATGAGATATTACTGGATTACTATGTAAATCCAGGAAGATTTCCACACATTCTCTGTAGTATTATAAATTCAGGATTTCTCTGACTGTATCCAACATGCATATTCAAGTGGTCACAACAAATACTTACATATTTACCCTGATAAAAGGACTATTTGGACATGCTCCCCTCATATGGAAACAGAGCTCTTACATGCCCACCGTGGGACAGAATTCATTTCCTTCTAATCCCACCCACATCATGGGCCTCTGAAATGACCATTGCAGAACTTTGAAGGGACAGTAGGCTAAGATACGGTGATTTCAGAGTGAGCAACTGGGACATGTGATACAGAGCTTTGGGTGTTCATTTTGTAATTGTCCCTAAGAGAGGGCGGAAAGGACACTTTCTCACTGTGCAGCAAGTTGTTGGGGTCATGGGGCCTCCTGACTTTGCTGATGGCGCAGACGGAGTCGAGGGAATGGCTGAAGAGAGAGGAAGTAGTTTCAAAGTGAGAGACAGCTTCCCACGGGTGTCTGGGTTGAGTACTAGAGTGGTTTTGCACTGGGGTTCCCCTGCCATTTTATGGGGCTCTTTTCAAAGGGATGCTTTTGCTCAAAATGTGAAGAACTTTATGGTTTGGGTGTGCTAATAAGGAAGGCCAGGGCAGGCTAGGCAGTTATGATGCCCTTTCAGGATCATCCTTCTTCCTCCAGAGTTTTTCACATGCTCACTATATTTGCTGCACTGTAATACATGTACTGATATACCATCCTACTGTTTTTAATCCCATGCTTTTTTATCCCCACTGTTTTAGTGCACAAGTCTGCTCCCCTGCCTTCCTCCAGAGCATCAGAGATTGGCCATAGCTGAGAAGGAAGAAATGAACTAGGAAACACTCAGGCACCTGACTGATTTGGGGGGGGGGGGGGGGGGGGGGGGGGCAGGAAGAGTGGCACAGTCCCATATGTATACCAAATTGGTCTGACTGATGGGGGCTTGTTCAGCTATTCAAGGTTAATCCAGCCACCAGAATCAGGACCACAAAGGAATTTTACTCCAGGTCACACTGGCAGGGACCACTGGGGTTGTTATGCTTTCCTCTGTAAAGCAAGGCACTTCCCAGGATCACCCAGGCACACCTTACCCAACAAATTCCTGATCACTGAAAGGGCCCAAGGGATCAGTGACACCCTTGGTTTCTCTTGCTCTCTCTCCATAGCAGAGTGTTGTTTTGGAGGAACTGGAGCTTTTATATTTGTGGGTTTTTTTCTGTCAGCTTGTGGTGTGTGGGAGGGACCACTAATGGACTCCCATGGACTCTTGCAGTGTT